AGCCCTAGTTAGGTTGATATAGATAACAAAAAAGTATTAAAATGCTCTAGTAAACTTCAAAATATTACTCAGATTATGAATAAGACATAACTGTAGGAAAATCTTACCTTGTCCTTCTAGAATTAGTGAAGCCAAAACGGTGAGAACGAAGCAATTGAATACAAAGAGTATGTTCCTAGAAAAACAAAGCCCGTTATAATTTTTAGCAAACAGCGACAATGAGGTTTTGGTTGCCAAGATTGAATTAGTTTCGTTGGAATGTAGTTGGTTGGTGAAACTCGATTATGCATAATTTATATTATTTGCCTTTAATCACTTGCATAGAGGAAGTTGTTATTTGAAAGTTTATTTATTTTGGAATAATTATGTCTTTTCAAGTATAACATATGTCGCAAAGCTACTTGAAGACTGTTTATCAAATGTTTTATACGCTCTCCACGTCCGCCCACCCTTGATCGAATAGTAAAGACGACCGTTTTACCAAAAAAGCTTCGATGACCCGAAACTTTTGAAACGTCAAAGAAGGATTTAAATTATTTCGTTGAGCCAGTTTTTAAGTGGTCAAGTTTCAGCAGTAGATAATTTACGCCCTAGATCACGTTGGTAAAGAACCCTTACTTAGAAGCCGAGAAACAAACCACTTATGTTGCAAATTATTCAAAACAGTTTTTTAATAACTTGCATGTGATCTCTTCAATGATGCCAAAGTAAATCTACTGAACGTATGAGACTCGCCGACAGATGTTGTCTAAAAATGTGAATACTTTCCTTATTTTACTTGCTATGATGATATCGCTTCATACAAATTAGTTTATTATTCTGCTTAAAACAAGGGGGTTAAAAATGTTTGGAATAGTTTCTTTTTAGTTCTGTTCTGTTTTCTTTGTTTTTTAATTTCATATTTTCTTTCTCGCGGTAAAACAAGTTTTTGTCACTCGGAACAAACAGATGAGAAGCCTATGCTATGACTTATTATAAGAATCTTTACGAAAAAAATATAGATAATACGAGTTTTACAAAATTGGTAATTATCCAAATTCATTATACATCTCGACATCTTATCGATATTCAGCGCGCGTAGGAAGCATCAGGGTGTAAAAAGCTTCTAACATTCATGCCGTTCAAGGTGCATTAATTTGAGAACATATTAACTATTAATATTATGACTATTTTTAAGTGATTAAAACCAGAAATACACGAACCTTCTGATTTAGATTTTGTAAAATTTGAACAAAGTTTAAGATCAGCTTTAGAGCCAATCTGTGGCAAAGAGTCATATTTTATTACATATAACATGTTTCGGCGAAAATTCTAAAAAAATGCTGTTTTTTTTTTTAATCTTTTTGTGCCCCATGAGAATTAATTTTTTATGACGAAACTGTAGAAAAGCTGTGTCAAGTTTTGTTTCGATCCAGCCGAGCTATTTCAATCAAGTTCAAATAAGCCTCTCAACTTCTTTTTCAGATAAAAGGTTCTACCACTGGTCATCTTATCCATCTTGTGGGATTGAAAAGTCGAAAACGTTCATGAACAGATTGCAGAGACGTGAGTAATTACCCTGAGGTAAACTTTCGCTTTAGGCATCTCCAAAAATTATTTCCCTAAAATTTCATTGTTTTTATTCATCTTATTTCAAAAAATTAGGTTGCAAGATGACCAAATATTCACGAACCTCTTGTAAAATGTATTCGTTATCCAATACTATTGCAAGAAGAGTAAGTATTTAGACGAAGTAACTCATCATACCAATACGAGGAGAAGAGTCTTGTGCGAATATTTCAAGGCCTAGTCAGGTTAATAAAGATAACAGAAAAGTATTAAAATGCTCTAGTAAACTTCAAAATGTTACTCTGGCTATGAATAAGACATAACTATAGGAAAATCTTACCTTGTCCTTCTGGTATTAGTGGAGGCAAAACGGTGAGAACGAAGCTAGCATTAGAATACAAAGAGTACGTAAAAAACAAAGCCCGTTATAATTTTAGCAAACAGCTACAGTGAGTTTTTGATTGCCAATACGTAATTACTTTCTGTTGAATGTAGTTGGTTGATGAAAATCGTTTGTACATAATTCCTATTAATGGCCTTTAATCAGAAAGTTTTTTATTTAAGAGTTATCCTATTCTGGCTTAGTAATGTCTGTACGATTGTAACATATGGCTGTTTATCAAATGTTTATACGCTCTCCCCGTCCGCCTACACCTGATCGAATGGTAAAGACGACCGTTTTACCAAAAAAAATCGATGACCTGAAATTTTTGGAACATTTAGGAAGGATTTAAATTATTTCGTGAGGCTAGTTGTTAGTGGTCAATTTTCAGCAGTAGATTACTTACGCCCTAACCCCTCCACCCCTCCCCCCCTTCCCCGCCGCCTCTAATTCAGACGCTATGAGTTTGTTAGGGAAGATTGACGGGGCCAAGGTGATGAAAAGCCCCATCTGTGCTTCACTTCTCGTCTTTTCAAAGAACTTTTTAGCGAAGTTGAATTTTTTATTGCGAAACAATGATCCCTTCCTTTCTGCAGGAAATTGTCACCATAGGAACCGACTCGTTTCAGTTGTGTTCAAATTGTGCAAGCGAATAATTAGCCCCAGCAACTTGACAAGTTTTTATATAACCACACACGACAAAATCCACGAACATTATAGTATATTTTGACTTCGGCTTGAAAGTGTTCAAGCCCCAAATTACCCTTTTTTTGGGATCTGAAAGGGCTTTGGTACAGTTTTATGGAAAAAGGGTCAAGATTTTATTCTCACACTTATTCAAATATTCACTTCAAAAATAATCACTGAACTATAAACATGAGTCAGAGGTGGCAAGAAGCTTAATTCTACAGTTTTACGACTTGAGAGATAATGGTTGCTTGACGTCTTTTCCCGAATCTTCGCTCAACAATCTTTTTTGTGAAGATCAAAAATTCCATCTCATACGCGGGACAAAGCTTTTAAGGAATGACATGAGTCGAAAAAATTATGTCGTTTAGTTTGGTTTTATTCCTAAAGACGCCAACTAGTAAGATTTTAGGGAAAATGAGGAAACAGCCATGTCCCTGAAATTTCGTCAGCACATATGAGTCATCAGAGTCTGCAAGACCCTCAACCTTCGCAAGCGTTTCTGAAAATTTCACTTAATTTCCTAGACACATCCCAAATTTCCTTCCACTATTGAGAATGTTGTGGAGAGTCAATAGAGACGCAAACTGCCCCTTATATCTGCAATTCGCCATAAATTAGGCTTGTGTTCAAGGCCATTCAACAGCCATGTGAGTCGTACGTGAATCTTCCATCTTTAACCAAGGGAGGCAACGTTGAGAAGGTTGAGAAAGTAAGGCAGGAGAAGAGACTGCAGGGATAAAGAAGCAAAAAAACCAAAAGCGAAAAAACGAAGGTCGGGAAATTGATTTTGTGAAGTTGAGGATTCTCGCAGTTTCGGTGAAATATATTTCCAGGTTCTTTCCCCAAATAACTTTGTTCTCTATTAGTGTTAATTTATAACTTAAGTGCAACTAAGTAAAGTGCCATTACTGACATTTAGGAGTCAAAAGGAGGAGAAACAAAGATACTGGGTTTAACTGGTAAAATGAAAATTAAAAATTGCTTTTTTTTTTGAGCTGATAATGAAAAAGAAATTGATTACATGATTAACTCTTACAGTCAATTGAAGACCGTTCCTATAATGTAACACGTGAAATCTGAAGAACTGACTTCACAATAGTTTCTCTTTGAAATACTAGCTAGTCCTAATTCCTTGCATGATATTTAACGACTAATTATAAATTGATGATACAACCAAGATACAACTAAGCTCGTGATCGTCACTTAGTCGATCTAATTTACAGTTCCAGCGAAAGCTATTGAAGAATTCTGTTCCAATGTGGGCCCTGATCTGTGGTCAGACTGAGAACCTTTTTGGTCACAAACTCTGTTATAACACCAATTATTCCATAACTTCGCCCGGCAGGCGTATCAGTATTCCCAGTCCAATAAATGGACATGGTTTTGAAACAGAACACCTAAGCATGACATAATATTTGATTCCTTTCCTTACTTTTGCTTCCACGTATTTATAGAAACAAGACCGAATCATTGATGAGATTTATCAATAAAACCACAAAGCTTTCAAATTTCCATGACACTAAAGCAGGTAATTAGAGAGTAACTAAGGGGGACTGTGCTTTTAATGTTTTTAATAATGGTTTTGTTTTTTGTTTTCAGCTCGGCCTTTCATATGAAGTGGGGGTTGTGCCCTCGCCACTATATTTCGGTCTTCTCTTTCTTTACTATCCGGATCTTTCCAACCTAAGGTGTTATTGAAAGCTTTGAGACATTGAATTAAGAGTATTATCTTAAAACTGAATAAAGCCAAAATATTTATAAAAAGAGGATTCTGTTGATAATCAACAAATGAAGCCATACAAATGCTAGATAAAATACAAGTTTTTTGGAATAATTTGTAACCAGCGCCCATGGCAGTAAAACTGCAATTTGTCGGCCCAAAGAGCGACCGGAAAAACAAAGATACTGGGTCTAATTGATCGTATTTAAATTGAAAATCGATTTTGGTTTTGACTTAATTAAGAAAAACGAATAGATAAACCATCGCAGTCAGTCGGCCCAAAGAGCGGCCGGAAAAATAATACTGGGTCTAACTGATCGTATTAAAATTGAAAATCGAGTTTGGTTTTGAGTTGATAATGAAAAAACGAATGGATAAACCATCGCAGTCAGTTGAAAATCATTCTTAAATATATGTAATGATTGAAGTACAGAAAAATGTGAAGGAATGTCTTCCCAACACTTTCTCTACGAAGTACTTACTGATCCTAATACCCTGCATGTTATTTATTAACTAGTTATCAATTAATGCAAAATAAAGGTAACTAAACTTGAAGATTAAACAAAAGATTATTCAACTCTATAGTTTAAAGACTAGCAACAGTCAGCCTTCAAAACAGAATTAGCCTCACACGTTAGAGAAAGTGCTGCCAAGGGCATGTCACTGAAGAAACGTGATGATCACTCTACCATCTCCATACCTATTAAAACAACATTCATTCTGCTGATTTGTCCCATTGTTAAAAGATCCACCCCCTCCCCCACAGGAAAACTCTTCATTAGCTCCACCATTTCCTCCAGAGTAACCTCCACCTCCTCCAGCTCCACGGTTCCGATGTAAACCACTGCCACCTCCGAAACCACCCCTAGCATATCCACCATGTCCTCCATGAAAATATCCTTGACCAGTACCGCTCGCATGTTGTTTATTACTATAGAAGCCGCCGCCACCGTAACCGCCACCTACAATTAAAGAAAAGTGAGCAACAGTTCTCTTATAAATGGCTTCTATTTGATTAGTTACTTAACAGCGTTTAAACGACGATTCGCAATATTATCAATAAAGTGCACATCTCAATTTTTGGAAATTTATTTAAAAATATTATTGGGTGGTCAATTTCTAGAAATAGAGAAACTTATCAAGAAAAGAGAAAAGTAAATTAAGTGATGCGTATGCATATTGACGGATCGGTGGTCAGTAGTAAATAAATATATATGATTTTTAAAAACTGAACTGTAAACTCAGTTGAACCTAAGATATACTTAGAAGTGCCTCCGAGAAAAGAAAAACTTCAAAGTTAGAATTAGTAATTTCAATAATTAAGTGCTGATAAATCTTGCTGTCGTCTTCCCGTCCTGATAGATAGACACACTGATTGTTGGTTAAGAATATATGAAAGTCATATATTTGAACTGCAGATAAAGACGTAAATGAAAGTGATCCTCGCGGTGATGTGCACTACCAACTGAGCCAACAAGCCAACTGCGAGCTGGTCATGATGGTGGTTCTAAATAAACCCGTGAAGTGATGAATAGACGGTTAAGAATATATGAAAGTCATATATTTGAACTGCAGAGTATGAGCGCTGCACCGGTATCGCAGAGGTCATGGGTTCAAATCCCGTACAGGCCTGAATTTTTTTCAGGCCTTATTTTCACTACTGCCTAAGTAGCGCACATCACTGCGAGGATCACTTTCATTCACACTGATTGTTTTTTTTCTTCTTTCTCCGCTTACCTTGAGAAAGACCTCCATGTCCGTTGCTTCCTCCTGACCCCAAAGGCGAGTTGTTCCCTGCATTCGCTGTTGTGTTTATGGACGCATCACATCCTGGATCTTGTTCTGACATATTTTTAATTCCCCCTCCACCTCCAGCTATGATTAAGGAAATGTTGTTTTCTCTCACCACAAATGTACCTCCACCACCTCCAGCAGTGTTGGAGTTGGAAGGCCCTCTTTTCCCTTTTTGACCAACAAGTACATGGATGATCTCATCTTTGGTCAAAATAAAGTTTCCGATCATCCGTGCTCCATATACGACATTTACAGATGGAAAAAAAAAATGAAGAAAATTGATGACAGAAAATAAATGGCGAGAAAACCTGAAAGAAACCACGAGGCTTATAACAAGTCAGGCTTTCTCACTTAAAATAACTAATCTTATATTAGAATTACAATATGGACTTATGGTAATTAACTTTGACCGCGCACACGTACACACACACACACGCACACACATATTAAGTAAGTTAGTTAAGAATTACTGCCTTACAGAAGTTAATACTTAGAGAGAAGAAATTCCTTAAGCTTTCTTTTAAAAGAAGCGGAGGAGGGAGAACTAGTTATGTCAGAATTTAAGCGAATTATAAAAGTTTGGACCTTGAAAGTAAATTGAAAACTTCCTGGTGTTCGTTCTGCACAGTGGCAAACGGAAGGACTGAGCATTCCTAGTATTATAATTGTGGATTTGACTATTCAGTAAAAAAAAGTTATTGAATTTGGAAGGGAGTGTAGAGTTCTCGAATGAAAACATAAAAGTACCTAATTGAAACGAATGGATATCATGAAATTTTAAGAGTTTAAGTTCCTTTAAAATAGGGCCAGTATGGGCAATGTATGTAGAATTGCTTACTATTCTTAACGCACGTTTCTGTAAGGTTACAATTCTTTGAAGGTTTGACTTATAGGTACCAGCCCAAGCTAAATTGCAATAATACAAATATGGAAGGATCATAGAATTGTATAAAGTACGAAGGGAGTGAGTAGAGAGAAAAAACCTAGATTTATGAATAATACCTATAGATTTGGATAATTTATTTGCTGTTAAGGATATATGCGATTTCCAGGTCAAATTGTCATCTAATAAAACACCCAAAAACATGGTCTCAGAAACACGAAGAATAGGCTGCTCATTTATGAAAACTTGAAATTCAAAGGATTGCTTCTTTTGCCAAGGCTTGAATACCATAAAATTAGTCTTGGCTAAATTCAAGGAGAGCCGGTTTGCTGCAAACCAGGTTGACAATTTGTTTAATTCTCTATTTAATGTGTTAATTAGGTAAACAGGGTCATTATGGGAGATAAATAAGTTTGTATCATCAGCAAACAAGATTGCATCAAGCAGGGAAGCATTGTTCAAATCATTAACATACAGGATAAAAAATAAGGGACCAAGAATAGAACCTTGAGGCACCCCACAGGGAATCCCCTGTGGGGCAGATCTAACGTTATTAAATTCGACAAATTGTGTCCTCTCAGAAAGATAACTTTTGACCCATTCTAGTGCCAGACCACGGATCCCATAATGATTGAGTTTGTCAAAAAGAATGTCGTGATTTACCGTATCGAATGCTTTCGAAAGATCTAGGAATACTCCAATGGCGTGTTCTTTTCTATCAAATGCAGAAGAAATTTTGTCACACAAATCGATAAGCGCAAGGCTAGGAGAGCGATTTTTTCTAAAGCCATATTGATTATCACATAAGACATCGGATTCATTGAGATAATTCATAATACGGTTGTAAATTATTCGTTCCAAAAACTTTGAAAAGCACGGTAGAACAGAAATAGGTCTGTAGTTGCTGAAGAGAGCTTTGTCACCTGATTTAAAAATAGGTATGACACGAGCAATTTTCAAATCATCCGGAACAATACCATGAGTAATGGAGAGATTTACAATGTGTGTTAATGGAGAGGAAACGCTGCATATAGATCGCTTTATGATAGACATAGGGATATTGTCATACCCAGCCGATTTTCCCGCCGGAAACGTAGATGCGATATCTATAATCTCCTCCTGAGTTGCTAAATTTAGGAACATTGACTGAGGGAAATGACCAGGAAGAAAATTCTTATACGAGGTCGTAGATTGAATTCGTTTAGCGAGGTTTGGTCCAATATTGCTGAAGTAATGACAAAATCGATTAGCAATCTCCATTGGGTCAGCTATGTTTTTTACTGTATATTTTTTCAATGTTTTAGAGTATTAAGCTCTTGTTGATGAGTTACATGAAAACTTTAAAACGATTAATGCTGGAAAAAAATGCTGAATTGCTTGACTTTTCGTCAACGACAGTCGATTTGCATATGTGCAACTTCCCCATGAACTGTGTTTAATTTAGCGGGGAATTGATCATCACCTTAAATAGTCAATACCGATATAAGATGAATTGATATAAATTAATTTCCCCTCTTTCATTTGGAAATTTTTTCACATTCGGTAGCGTAAGTAACAATAATATAACATTTCCAACACTTTTTTATTCCATAAAAACTTATCTTGGAGATGCTCGTTAAGGAAGACCTTCGTTCGACTAAAAATGAAATACTTGACAAGTATTCAAGTGACGTAATCCATCGGTCGTATGTCAATAGAGACTGTCAAAGGCAAATGCCTTCAGGAAATTTTACAACATCACGTTTTCTTGATAAGTCTTTGTGAAATGCTTTTAATTTCTGCTTCTGTGTTTAGCAAACAATTTTTTAAAGAAAAGGGACGCACTTGACCCACAAGTCTTGCACACGATGACCTTTAAAACTAGTATGAAAACGAGTTATTTGGTTGCAACTGATGCAGAATAAGCTGTGGATAAATACATCTTATTAGACGGTTTGGTGTGTAGTATCTCTGAATATTTATGCGGGTTGTGCCGTATTTTAACCGTATGGCGAGTCAAAATACAAACGCCGCTTGAACAGAACAGCGCTTCCAGGCTTCTTTATTTGTTAAAAACGTCTTTAACTTGATAATAAAAGGGGGCGATTTACGCTTTACGCTTAACACTGTCCGATTGATAATTTTGAAATTATTGTTATTTGAAATATTTGTTGTTGGTTAAGTTTCGTTAATTCGCGTCTTATTTGCACTATCATGCGGTACTGATAGTCTAAAAAGAGGACTGCCGTAATCTTCTTTTGATTAAAACACATTAGGAGATAAAATAAATAAATGTTCCGCGTTTGTTAGCAATTTCTGATTGAAATTGGTTTATTCTTCTTAAAAATCAATAAACAGACGTCAAACTCCGAGCACGAAGCGTCTGACAAGAACGTTGTTAAGTGATGGATGTTTGCAGCCCTGAATATGACTTAATTAAACAACATATATTGCCATATTAACTTGTACGTGAGTTAGATGGGACCAGATGGTTGAATAAAAACTCTATATAAATACAGTTACATTTTTCATCCTTAAAACCTTTCAAAACACTCTTGGCTTGACCGAAGAAAGCAATTGAAAAGTCCTAGACAGCCATTTAGAAGAAATTCAATGGAAACGTGGTTTTGGGTTCTCGGCTGGTTCCTCAGCATTCTCACGATGGTTGTAAATGGATTTGTCATCTTCCTCGTCTGCAGTAAACGTCAGCTTCGCACCAAAACCAACGCATTTATCGTGTCTTTAGCGGTGGCTGATTTTGGTGTTGGGATGCTCGTTGTTCCCTCATTTTTTTTCTGCAGCCTTGCAACCGAATGCACTCCACCCTCAAGAGAGGGATTAGTTGTGATACTTTTACGGGTGTTCACTCTTTACACCTCAGGTATAAACTTGGTTAGTTTAGTTCTGGAACGTTATGTTGCTGTTGTGAAACCTTTGAAATACTTGACTTTTATGAAGCGCCGTCGAGTCATTCAAATGGTTCTAACGTCTTGGGGAATTCCTTCTCTTTTCAGTTTTACTCTATTGTCAATTGGACTCATTGCAATCGATCATATCGGGACTCTCGTCGGCTACTTGAGTTTGATTTTCGAGGTAATCTTGTGCCTAATTCTAATCTTTTTTCTTGCATCCATGTTTCTTGTTGTTTACAATCTGAACTCTAGAGATCGCACTTTAGCTAAGCAATTGCGGTTTAATCATGTGGTCACTAGAGCTAAAACTCAGAACACGTCAGCAGTAAAATGGGTAGCTTTGATAACGTGTGTGTTTCTATCGTAGACCCAGCAGTAAAATGAGTAGCTTTGATAACGTGTGTTTCTATCGTAGACCCCTCAATAAACCCTATAGCTTATGCTTTCTTCAAAAGAGATATACAACAAGAATGCAAAAGGCTTCTCTTCAAAAGGCGTCGTTAACAAACAAAAGAATAGTTCCGACGCAAGAACAACAGAGTAGTTAAGGACAGCCATTAAAAAGAAATTCAGTGGAAACGTGGTTTGGGGTTCTCGGCTGGTTACAACTGAATGCACTCCATGCTTTGAAATACTTGACTTTAATTTTTAGCAAAATTTACTTTGGAGTAATGTTTTTTCTTTTAACCATTGAAACTGGCTTTTATTTTGATGTAAAAAACATCTGGTTCTTAAAATTATGAGCTTGCCTTGCATAAAAAAATAAACAGAGTAAAAACATAATATATTCCTTGTCAATTGATGTGTCTGGTTTTGTAAGTCAACAGTTGATATTCTCTTGAGAGGTTGAAATGTCCGCTGGTACCCCGAAAGAAATGGAAATTGGAAAAAATACACCCATTCCTTAGACCATGATTTTATTCGTCAAGACAGTTGTAGTTTGAAATAAAGGAGAGACCTAAATCGCGAAATTGCAAGGGAATCGAAAAAAATTATCGCGATTCCACGGCGTTCGTGCGAGCTGATAGTTAATAAAATAAATAATAATATATGAGATAATTTGGAATTTAGCAAGGGCTCTTCGCAAGGCTACTGTTCAAGCGATGTTTCCGAGTCTAATTTGAATCTGGACAACGATTTTAATAACTGAAAGGTTATCTAGAAGCAATAGACGTGGTGTTGCTACGGTTGCGGAGGATATTTTTACCTCTTTATTAGAGTCTACTACAAGCAATAGTTGTGGTATTGCTACGGTTGCAGCGATATTTTTACCTCTTAAAAAGTCTTAAAAATAACCAACTATTGCTTACGATCGCACAAAACTAAGAGAAAAGCTTGTCGTAAGTATTCAGCCCGTTGTTCAAAGTCGGAAAACTCATTTGAATTACAAATCGTTTAAAATATTAAAATTCGTGAATTTGCTATCAGTCTTGCACGTGGAAAAAGCTTACGAAC